GTGCTTCTCTATCTTCCCTCTAAGGACAAACTTTCTGATTTTACTTTATATTCTTTACCCTCAGCTTGTGAAGTGGAATAGAGTTCCAATTGTGGAGATGGTGACTTGACTCTGTTTTTTTTTTTTTTTTCGTTTTTTTTTTTTCCCTCCACGTGGAGAAATAAGACTTGATTAATGATGAGTTTCTGTTCACAGTGTTCTTTCTTTTACAAGGCAAAACCTGTTCTCAGAGTGTGTGGAAGATGACAGATTGACAGCCCTGTGAGACTGAAAGCCCTGTGTTTATCCCCAGTACGGATACAACACAACAAGCAAAAATGAAACTTTCCACAAGCTACCCTGCTAGTGTATTTCAGCCCTGATTTACACAGCCAGTGAAACATTCAGAACACTAGGGGTTATTGTAGTTATCCAGGCTATGCAGTCCTTTGTCTTTGCAGAAGCTACCCACCACTGCGACGGCAGTTTCTGTGATGTGGATGTCTGAGAATATGAGCCTTCATTGAACAGTCATCACATGGTAGTGACTTTCATTTAAGAATGATCTGGTCTGAATTTGAACTGGCATTTTATAGATGAATGCCTTATGTCTTGTTTCCAGTCACCCAAACGTTCCAGCTACTCTCAGTGTCCCTTATTTGAAAGGAAAATAGAGGCTATGCTTTACATTTGTTGGACTAGAGAAAGGGACCTTACCTGATGATACATGGGGCCGATTACATTCGTTTCAATGCTTTGGTGCCTCTCTGAAAGTGATGGGGATATGCTTTTATTTGTTTGTTTTCAAGTCTTCTTGCATGGCTGTGAAATTCAGTGAGTTCAGAGGACAGGTAAGCGGGAGTAGACTGAACACATGACAAGGACTAACATAGTGAGTGAGTGTTTCTTTGCACAGTGATTATTACAAAAGGTTTTCATGGATGCAAATTAGGAAGATTATAGATCATAAAATGTTTTAGTACCATTTTGGGAAGTGTTCCATTGGAAAGGTAGATGAAGAGATATTGTTATTGGCCCATGTCTTGGCGCATTCCTGTTTCAATGTAGTCAAAATTAAGCTGGCATTCTGTGATGGGGTTACACAATGGCTGGATATAGGGCTGTCTCAGGACAGCAAACACTGGTGTGGAAGACGATGAGATCAAGGCAGGAATGCTCTTGTGATCAAAGAGAAGGCTGGAAAAACATGCAGGGGGAAGATGATCAAAGAAGCTCCTCAAGATCCTTCTTCATATCCTATGCTTGGCATTTACTTTAGTCATACTGCAATACACAGAATGTGACTTTCAGATTGTATGACCATGGTAAATTTTGGTCATGGATTTCCTCAGGCAGATGAAGTGAAATATACTCTTTTTCTTTCTGAAAACAAGGCTGTGTAGAGGCCTGGTACAAGGAATTCAGTGGTGTAAGAAATTACTAAAAGGGCATTTGGTCTTTGCAAACATGCTGTGAAGTGCTACCTTGCACTACTACAGTGGCAGTATATGATTAATATTGCAATTAATATCTCATGTTTCTCCCCTATGCACCCAGATACTGAGCTATCTTAAACCTGATTCAAGAGATCTTGCTGCAGCTGTAGTGTTCTTGATACAACTCCACTGTGCTTTTTAACACAATAGCTAATAATTTCAATGCTATTCTAGTCCCAAAGTCACCAAATCTTATTTTACTTTTTTTTTTCTTTTTTTTTTCTTTTTCCCCATTTTCTACAAATAACATTTGCTACAGAGATGTGAATACTCCCTCTGTGCAGGTGAAGGTCTACCTGACTCTGCAAGCTCTGTTGCTTCTGTATTTCATACTTAGTTCTAGAGCATGACAGCAATTCCTTCTGTCCTCCAAGATAAGGAGGGAGCTCATGCCATGAAAGGCAAAAAGTCTGGGACACTGAAGTTCCTTTTCAAAATCTTTCCATTCAGCTCTAGAATCTGCACAAACCTGGACACGCTGGGAGCTTTCTGGGAGTACATTTAATTACTCACAAAAATGCATGCTCAGTAGAGCTGTTTTGGTTTTGGTGGTTTGTTTTGTGGTTATTCTTGTTTACTTGTTTGTTTGTTTTCATTTGTTTGTTTGTTTGTTTTAAGTGTGCTGAGAGTCTAGCTCTTCAGCTACAAGTTTTTTGTTGTTGTTGTTGTTTTGTTTTTTTTTATAACTGCCTGAACAATATGCAAGATAGAGGCTACATGTTTGCTCTCCCACCAAATTTTGTTTTGTCTGTGAATAGCCAGTACAAACATCTTCATTTCTCATCTCTGAACATCATGCCCTATCAGGAATATCTCTTTTCTCAGTAACTGAGAAAAAATATTTTCTCTGTTTGCAATTTCATGTGCTATCATGTGATAACAAGCCTGTTATTTGAAAAAACTTCTTATAATTACAGTGCTTATTTAGTTGCCTTTGTTGAAATGTTCTATGGTCCCCAAGGCCATTTTCTATAAACCAGGCTCAGTAACAAGTATTTTTTGTCTTATTTGAATTTCTATTAGCATATGAAGGTTTATATATATATATATATATATATATATATATATATATATATATATATTTGTAAACTTTGCTATCAGTTCAGTTAAAATTTGAAACATAAATTTAGTTCAACTAGCATCATCTGAAGTGTATGGACTTTTTTACATTCATTTTGTCATCTATACATCCCCCATACCATATGGTATGATACTCTCAAAGAGAAGCTAAATCTTTTCTGCACGGTAATTGTTTTCATTTCTATTAAAAGAAAAAGGCACAAATAATAGGTACAGTGCAGGCATGCAATCTTTGGTATGTCACTAAATCCTTGATGTCTATTAAAACCCTACCTAAACTTGCAATTCCCTTGACAGAGCACGTAGGAAAGCCTTTCTCCATCTGCTGTTTTTGCTGATGAGATGCCAAATGTCTTTACAGATACTCTCATAGAAAAGGAAGGAAATGCAATTACAGGAATCAAGCTCTTTAAAAGCACTATTTGAAAGAAAGAGAGAGAGAGAGAAAGAGAGAAAGAGAGAAAGAGAGAAAGAGAGAAAGAGAGAAAGAGAGAAAGAGAGAGAGAAAGAAAGAAAGAAAGAAAGAAAGAAAGAAAGAAAGAAAGAAAGAAAGAAAGAAAGAAAGAAAGAAAGAAAGAAAGAAAGAAAATGTGATTTTACATATACTAGACCACCCTCGAGAATGATTTCCATTTACAATAGAACAGAATCATAACTATTTTTTATATATTGGTTTACATAAAAGATGACATTTGAAATGTTCATCATTCTCTGCAAATTCAACTGTCCTCTTACCTTTAAACTTACAGTTTAGCACAGTAAAAGAAAACAGCCTTTATCAAGTGTAAACAAAACTGCTATAACACACTGCATCTGGTTATTTTAGTGGTAGGATCAGGGCTTTAAATACTGTGAAAATGTTAAATCTTAAAATCATCCTAAGTATTTGCCCCAGCCATATCTAGAACAGTTTTATACAATGCTATTGTATTGTTAGATGTATGCATGCAGATGTGCTTGCAAAACAACAGCAAATTGTTACAAAAGACACTTTTTGTTTTGCTTGTTTGTAAAGCACTGGAATGGAATTAAACATTTCCTTAGAGACTAAAATGATAATTATACCTTTTTTTTTTTTTTTTTGGTAACACATCTAAATTAACATGTCCAGAACCAATCAACTGGTATCTTTTGACATTTGTGTTGACTTACTCTTTTTTTAAACAGAAGTAAACACTACAAACAGGATCCAAACAGTTTCAGACAGGGATTTCTTTCATATTCACTACCATTTGCTTGAATTGAAGTACAGATCTTAAAAGCATCAAGTTGCTGAAAGAGTGTCTATGAAAATAAAACTGTCTTTGTGAACCACAGGTGATACATTTTCTGTGTTCTCAAATATAGGTGTAAATTGAAACAGAGTAAAACTAGCAAGAGCAAACAGGAAAAGAATTAAAACACTATGTCTTTGTTGTTTCATTTCCTTTACTACAGAGTGCAATCAATACTTTACAACAGGGTTAATATGGTCTCTTCAAACATGCTATTATTCTTTCAAAATAGCACAATAACTTTATTAGTTATGCTGTCTGCAGTCTTTCCAATGTGACAGGCTTGTGTGGGTGTTCAGATTGTAAGTAATTTTCTTGGTGCCCTCTGTTGGAGTATTTTCCATGAGTGCTAACAATAGCAGCTAGCACCACGCAGCTGCAGGAAATTTGAGTGGTGGAAGTTCTAATTCTAATTAGTATAATTAACACAAACAAAAAAAAAGTCCCACACTGCGAGACCTACTGTTTCTGCTCAGTAGTTATTGAATATTCAGGTTCCACATCTGCCAGCCCTTTACTATTCAAGTGAGTCTGTGGTGGCTGATTTTTTTTTTCTTACTTCAGTGACATTCAGGTGCACTGAAAGGTATTTTAAATCATAGCCTAGAGATCAATCTGGTAACTAGTTGTTTATATTCTTTCTCCTACCTTATTTTTGGAAAGCATTTGTTTTGTTAGTAAATACATTTGAGTGAGCATTGGCTCTATTTGACATAGCAAGAGAACAAAGAACATCTTGCTTTTTGTTTCAGTTGGATTTCATGTTCATAAAGCAAGACTTCTTCCTTTGTGAGAGAATCAAGACTAAGCAAGTTTAGAAATAATCTGTGTGAATTCATCACAGGCCACATGGCTGTAATGGATGCCTCAGTCAAATGGACCATAGGCTGATTCAGCTTTCGAGAAGGGAGGAAGTATGTCATCAAACTTATTATTTGAGGAAATTTAAATCACATGGACCCAGGGACTACTATATGAGATAACTTTGTCAGCATCTGAATCCTGGGCAATTCCTTTCCTTTCCTTTCCTTTCCTTTCCTTTCCTTTCCTTTCCTTTCCTTTCCTTTCCTTTCCTTTCCTTTCCTTTCCTTTCCTTTCCTTTCCTTTCCTTTCCTTTCCTTCCTTTCCTTTCCTTTCCTTTCCTTTCCTTTCTTTCCTTCCTTTCCTTTCCTTTCCTTTTCCTTTCCTTTCCTTCTTTCCTTTCCTTTCCTTTCCTTCCTTTCCTTTCCTTTCCTTTCCTTTCCTTTCCTTCTTGGGTCTTGACATTCAAGCCACCTGAACACCAAAGTTTCTATTTATAATCCTACCGGTATCCTGGCAGGACAATTTTTCTTTTGTCTTTGTTCATGCATATAATGTTTGTAAAAGGGCAGAAATGTGATGTTCTTGATTACAGTGAGAACTACCCTAGCTACAAGTATCTGCATTCATGTAGCAAAGTACTAGTCAGCACTACTTCGCAAAGTAACTCTCAATAGCATCCAGCACTACAGAATAAAAGCACTGCCTGTGTGGCTGGTCTCAGTGAAAGAAATAGGGCAGAAGTCATAATCTGAGAGGGGACTGATCTGCACAGAAAGGACAAATATGTTGCCTGGTGCTTGTGAAAATGGAAGCATTGAAGAAAAAATTATCTTCTGCAATTAGGTCCATGTTAGGCAATCCAGCCTGCCTCACCTGCCAAAGTCAGAAGTGGTCATATCTGCACAAAGTGATAATTTTTCTATCCCTTTTCTTGTCAAGATTGCGTCAATCATCATGTGACAGACCACCCATGTGTAAAAAGACGTATGTCTGGTGGGAGCTGATATGGAACCTACAGATGGGTTTACTGGCTTCAAAAAGCAGGTAATCTTCCATTAATACTTCCTCTGGAGGATAAGGCCCTGGTATCTTTCAGATGAGCTGTAATTAGGCCAGTTTTTGAGGTCTCAGATACTGCAGCTGATAACTATGCAAGTCATAGTCTTTTTCTAAATTGTCCTTTCATCTTTCAGTTTGACTTTATGTCTAGGTATAGAACTGAATGAATCACTCATGGTAATTAATAGTCAACATATTAGCTGCATCAGTTGTTCATATTTTTTTCCTCCCTCTGTCAGCCTCACTGTAGATACTCATTATTAATATTAAACTGTTTTATAGAAGCACCCACTTAGGTACTGTGTACATATGTTTAAAAACACAAAACCACAAAGCATAGGAACTAAAGAAAAATAGAATTGATGGTCTTATTACTCTAGTCTGAATCTCTGTAATATCAGGTAATCCTTTACACAGGAATTTTGTTTCTGCAACTTACCCCTACCTTGGAGATTTCTCATTCTTTTTATGTGGTCCAAGGAAAATGTATTTTCTCAACTATTTTAAAATGAAAAAATATAACATTTGTAATAGCCTTTTTAATGTAGATGGATCTAACTTTGACACATAATTACTAGAATTGATGTGTCACAAATTTATATTGTTCAATTATAATATTGTCAAATATTCATTTGGGCTCTGGCAGTTCATCTGTATTTCTTTTCAGGTGTTTCTTACATGATCACTTACCCCTTAAATAATTAGTAACAAACAGTTGATCCAAAATACAATATGTAGTTCTTGGTACAGATCTCATAAAAATGAACTATTCCCCAAGAACTACAGAGGGGGGAAAAATAGATATACAGAAAGAAAGAGTTAAGTATAAAGAAGTACAAACAGTGCACAAGCATCAGTGAATTAATGAGTACATGCTCCCATACACAGTCTTTCTGACTAGGAATTGTAAAGAGTTTGGGGGTGAGAGATCAAGATGTTTGCAAGAGTCTTCTGAAGGATGTAAGTAGGGCTGAGGGCCTGGGAGTAAAGAACAGAGGAAAGAGACAACTCCCAAGGGAGAGGGCAGGAGATTTTTTTCTGGATAAACAGGAAGGCCAAAGATTGAAAAGGCCTGCTAAGATAAAATACTTGTGTGGAGTGGAATAGGACACAGGGACAGCACACTATATGCCCTGAGGTGTGAGATCAGCGGTGGGAGCACTGGACAGAGAACTGCCCTTCTAAGTATGATGCAAAGAGATCTTGCTAAGATGCTTTTTGTTTGCGGTTAACCAAGGCAAGCCAAGTTCTCATTGATTAATTCTGTCAGAAACCTGGTTCCATGTGTCAAGTGTTGGCACTGCCTTACCAAGCAGAAACATTCTGACTGCATGGGTTTTGTGTTCGTTTTCTCTTGAACTAGTGATATCCTCAGTCTAGAGGAGATAAAAGCAGCAGGTGAGAAGTGTTAAGATGCATCTAATTACACTGCTTTTACACCTGCACTTAGCCTGATAGAGGTTATACAGTTAAAGAAAAGATAAACAGAAAACATTCTCCTACTTTTTGTTCTTTTTATTCTCTTCAAGAGGCCGTTTGCATAGACATGTCAGGACATAGCTAACTGCAGCAGAAAGATATCACCACTTCTCAGTGCTTGTCACTGAGCCCTGGCAAAAGATAACTGCATGTTCTCTAACTCACCACAGTACAAAGTCACTGAGTAGGTCCAGGTCACCTTATCCTACGGTCACCTGGAGGAGGCCAAGGTTGCAGGGAAGCAGGTGTGGCATGTCCCCACGATGCATACCTCCAGCTAGGTGGAGTGCATCCAGGAAGTGTCTTAAAATACATAATAATTTTGAAAGTGGATCTTTAACTATGTCTTACATGGTTGTTGCAATACTGGAGTATTTTCTGTTTTGCTCCTCTTTCAGTCTTGCAATAGTCAGTAATAAATAACTGTAGTCACGAGCAGTAAAGATAGAAAAATAAAATTTCAGCTAGTGTACCATATGTTGATCTGCAGCTAGGATGCAGACCCTGCCTTCAATAACATCTGTGTGAAACAGATCTGCTATACAGCTGCCATCACAGTTTTCTCTTTGGAAAAAGGAAAATATGCTTCTACACCTGAGTTCATTTGAGGTATGTGCTCTAGAGGGGCCAGTTCTAGCATTACTTTTTCTGAAAACTAATACCAATCATCAGTAAGACTTCAGATGAGTCAATAAATCTATTTCTAGAGAATGTCGCCGTATTAAATATTTTGTGTGTATTGTCTGTGATTCAAACTTAAATTTTAAACCCTTAGGTTTGGAAGCAATAGATATTCGCCCCTGATGTTGTTATCTTCACAGAACATTTACTGTTGCATGAAATTGTTCAGTGAATTCTGTGATTCATGAGAGAGAGAAAATAATGAAATAAGCAAATCAAGTAGTAAAGATGATTGTGAAAAGGTGTGAACTTCCCAGAACTTAGGTTTTTATGCTGAGAATTACTGTGTTATATGGAGTAGTTTTAGAATTACCATAGAAGTGTGTATCACAGTTCTACAGCTGAGCTGGTCACAGCATTTCGTTATTATTATTATTATTACTATTATTATTATTATTATTATTATGTTGAAATGTGCTGTTTCACAAGTGTGCCATTTCAACAAAACATTCTGAGAGAGGCTCTCACATCTGCAGATGACCATTAGAACAAGCACCTGTCATGGGTCTACATTCAATTCTTGTTTCCGAGGTTTTCACATGTACTTCTCATTAACATCGACACTGAGTTTTTAGGAGAGATCCCTTGTCCTGTGTAAATATTATAGCAAATGGACTCGTAAATGTTTTCTTAGTAAAAATGTACTAAGTCCCAACACCATACCATTCACATACAAGTGTTCAGGAAGCGTTTTACCCTATAGGACTGGAATCATATTTTTAAGATACACTCATTAAATTAAACTGATTTCCTAAACTGTAAGTATTAGGAAAGTCAGGGATACATCTGGGTTTCCTCTTTCCAAAACACAGGAAAAGGTTCAGAAAGAGAGATACTGCCTCCAGTATCTCTGGAGAGAGAGATATTCTTGTTCCAGAAACAAATATATCTGGTTCTTTTGCTTATTGTCTGTGGTCCTCACTGTGAACATGTACACCATGCAAGTTGCCATGTCTTAGTCTGCATGCTATCATTTTGGTTGTTGTTATTTTTTGTTTGTAAACTAAACTCACCTAATGCCACAGTCACCCTTCAGATACTCATTTATTTCAAATGGAGTTGTGCAAAGGATATTATTTATTTAGTAACTGCAGGTCAAACAAAATTGTATTAGTGTGGCTTATTGGATATGTTACTAGCATTATAGCATCTCCAAATCTTGTCATGAGGTGAAGCCACAGAGTGCTTTGACCCCCTTGTTCAAAGGTGCAATAGTTGCTGACAAAAGACTCTGAACAGGTGTGCATAGGCCTGACATTAAAAGGAAATAACTACTGTGTGACTGACCACCTGTGTCCCAGCTGGTTTTAAGGATACCTTCATACAAAAGAATTATTGGAACTGCTTATGTACTTAGAGTTCTGGTTTTACCAATCTCTGAAGAGGAAAAATAGCTTAGAAACAGATTTATCTGTGCATATAAGTTCCTGACTGCATTTAAATTCATTTGAAGACCAAAAATATTTACAAAATTTCTCCCTTCCTAACATGAAAGGGAGAAAGGGAGTTCCTTGCTTATGCTGCTGTTCCTTATTGTGCTCTTTCAAATGCTTTAGTTCTTGATTTGCTTGGAATTTCACTTCTTTGTTTGTTTGTTTGTTTGTTTTTCCATATAATCTTAGATTGTATTGTTTGTGACTAGATGCCAATGACAGGCTGCACATGGTCAGTGGTGCCCCGTCCCCTTCTTCTGGCACTGCTGAAGCTATAAGGGTGCCCTCCTGTAAGCCCCTGTGCTGTATAGGAACATGTTACCCCACCTCTCCCCAGAGTGCACGCGGTGTCTCTATGCAGCACACTTCCAGAAGTACGTGCATAGATGGCCCAGCCCCAACCAGTGCAAGTCGGCACAGCCCACCGAGCAGTCCAGATGTACTCACCAAAAAGGCACTGTGCATTGTGTGTCTGTTTCATTGTAAAACTACATTCCTGTTATACTGGGGCTGTAAACACTAAAACTGAAGTTGCAGTCACTTGCTCTCCTTGACATAGGAAATATGGTGCTTCATTACATGTTTATTTTTAGTGCATGTACAATACAACTTGAGGGACTTAAAGTTGCTATGGAAACCATAACTTTGAATTTGAGACTTTTTATGCATTCTTTTTTTTTTTTTTTTTTTTTTTTCTGCTATGTTTTATTAAAAAAAAAAAAAAAAAGTGTACAGAAAGATCATGAACAAAAATACTGGTCAGAACTCCAGTCACTGGTACACTGGTATAACTAGCATCAGGAAGTGAATAACAAACCTAAAATAATGTCAGTCTTAAATAGCAAACAAAATTATGATTGGCAAAACATGATGAGTTTTAATACAACTAAATGGATCTGGTAACAGGATCCCAAACTACTATTATATATATATATATATATAATAATATATAATCTGAAGCATATATATATAAGCATATATATATATGCTTCAGATTTCATATACCTGCCCCAAATTTTATTGAACTAGCACCTGAGCATGTTCATTTGTCTGCCACTCTGTTGTGATGGAAAAACAAATAGCTGTCAAAAGGAACAGAAGAAATGGATCTATACTCCTACATGAAGATTCAGCCTTAGCTGCTGAAGATAGCAAAAGGTTATTTTTCTGTATCTGTTGATTTAAAAAATAAAAAATATCAAAAAAATCTTTTTCTTCTGTCTCAAAGCATATTTATCTTAAGGCAGTTCTATTCTATTTGCCTTTATTACACAGCCTATACCGTAGCCTGTAAAGAAGGAGAGTGCTTTGACCACTGCCTCATTTTGCAACTCTAGAAACATATAGATTCAGCATTATGTCAATAGACGCCTTTGAACAAATTGTGCTTACAGTCATTATCACCTGCTAAGGAGGACACTCTTCTTGCAGCTGCCCACTCAGACTCCCTGGAAAATGGAGGTTTCACTACTGTCCTGTGGGCTGCAGGGAAAAAGTACAGGAGATTTTTAACTTGTCACTGATCTCAACAAAGGAGGGGGCTGTTACTGATGGGGAAGGTTCATTGCTGTACCTTTGCTGTTCCCTGCCTGACATGACTCTATCTGTGTGCATTTTATGCCTGATACAGTTGAGAGCAGTGGGAAGAAAGCCTGACACGTTACCTCGGGAGGTGTTATTTACGAACACTGGACAAACACGCAGTGGCCTTGCTGTGTCTACAATGCTTTGGCTGGTTTCTAAGAGTTTCTGAAGCACAGTGAATAGCTATTTATAGTGAATAAACTATTCTACAAACTATTCAAAGTGTACTAGTTGACCTCTATATGGTTGTTTTTGACAGGTAACAGAAAACTAGTGCTTTATTACTTCTGTGCTTTATCATATGGAGGCGTAACCAAAGAACATTTTCAGGGGGAGATAAGCACAATCTTTAATATAAAAGGATACAAAAAGTTAGCTAGGCATAGAAGTTACTGGCAAATTTGTATTGTATTTGCAAATCTCAGGGATGCACTATAACATCTTTCTAGATAACAGTTTATTAGCACCAAGGTAGCATCTGAGAGAGCATGCAGACATTTAATATCCATACCAGAAAACCTGGAATGTATCCATATCCATGAAGAGTTCAGGTCATTTGCAATTGCTGCTGGGGTTTGAGTTACTTTGGTGTCATCACAGGTCTATTTTGACACGTATATGGTAGTCTAAGTACATAAATAATAAATAATATCCAGAACTGTGCTTATCTGTTCACGTTTCCTCTATGAATGGCTTTCTATCTGAACTAAAAGGTCAGTGCCATTTTTATCTAGTGCAATGCTGAAGTAACCTACATTAATCATTCAAGATACCCGTGAATTATTTCCACATTTGCTCTCTAAGACCCTTTCTTCCCCATGAAGACTGCACAGCTGTGTCTAACCGTGGCTAGCCGTGTGGTCACGTTGTTCCTCTCTCAAGAACATCCGTCTTAAGACTGCATTTAAACAAGCCTGGGCATGATTTTATATTCCCTCTTCCGAGCAACCGCTCATGATTGATCTGTTCTGTCACTGTTGCCTTTCTCTCGGACAGCATAACATTTAAGGTTTTGTTGTAAGCTACTTTCATTGAGAAACAGCAAAAATGATCCGCATGTTTTGTTTTCAGGTACCTTTACTGAGAAAGAGAGCAATAATCATTTGCTGGTATTTCTTTATAAGTCTGTCTTTGGAGAAAAATATAAGAATTCTGGTCTCCTGGCTTTGTATATGCTATTTATGGTTTTATTAACTTCATTGCAGCAACATCCAAGGAACTGAGGATTTTGCCATGCTTTCTGTTCTCTATCACTGATCTTCCTGGGTATTCTCTAGTAGTGGGAAATCCTAACAGCAGGACAGCTTCTGGAAGGCATACTCTTCCCAGATCTCTGCTCTCCATGCTGGTCTGCTACTGCTGGTGTCACCAGTTCTCTTTATCCTTGTATATATCAAAATAATGTGAAGAATTCACACGGCCCCTTTTAAAATCTGATTACAAGCAACTGACCACTCAGGATAGTTTCTGTTGATTAAAAAAAAAAAAAAAAAAAAAAAAAAGAGACTGAATAACAGAATAACAGACTGTATATTAGGGGTTATTAGAGAGATCAGAGCATTTTAAAGGGATATTTTTCTCTGCACTGTAATGCTATTCCCTTGCATTCATAACCTAACGTCTGTCCTCCACTACACTTGGGCTCTTGGAGCCCAAGAGAAAGTTGAATATAATGCTGCTTTGTGCTCTCCTCTGCCAGCTCTGGCTCTGCCCTCTGTTCCAGGCTCATGTTTGTACACAGAGGCGTACACATCATTCATAGTGGCAGAGGCAAATCTGGATGAGCTGGGTCCCTTGTGGATGAGGAGCCAGAGGGCATGATCAAGCATGCAGTTGTTGACTGATGGCTCATTCACACAACGTGAATCCAAAGTAATTCTTTCTGCTAGATAGTTTAGTTTATTGTTACAAGAAAACTGCTTCATTTTTATTTGGGTAATGTGCCTGCTAGAGGGGGTGTGCATAAAAGTAGTATCTGAGAGCACTGAAATGCATAGTATTAATGTGATCATGATGTCGTCTTATTAGTAAGACAACTTGTCCTTTTTTGTCAGGGAATTGCAAAGATCTGTCAAGGCCCAGTTTAATCTACTCCCTGTAATAGGATTTGTCTGTAGCTTGAGGAAACAGAAGCTTGTAATGCATAGGGTTATTAAGAGTGGGATGTAAGCTATTTGAGACTCTTTAATAAAATATAATATCAGTATATTCAATGAATATGGAAAGAGGGATCTAAATATTTCTCGTTACAACCTTCAAATATCTTGGGAAAGGAGAAGGATACTAATTAAAACAAGGGTAAAAAGCAACAGATCTCTGAATTCTAGCCTTCCTCAAAGTTAAATATTGATGTAAGCTGGAGTTCAATTGAAGAATCTCATTGCCCCTGCTGTAACCATTAAACTAAATCCCTGCCCCATTCCAAGACAAGGTTAATGTATTTCAGGAACCTTGTGAATAACAGCTTTAGTTGCTTTCATGTACACCCATGCGTAGCCCTTCTGCAAACAAGGCAGTTTTAAACAAGGAAAGCTACAGCTGCCAGGAGGTACAAAGTATTCTGCCCTGTGAATTGCCTCACTTCCGATGTAACAAGCTCTGAGACAGTTGAAAATATTTGCAGTCCCAAACCTCACTCACCTCCTCCCTCAGTGTCTTGACAGGAAACACAGAAATCAAAAGCTTTAATTGTCTCTTTTTAGAGGGAGTTTTGGTGTCCAGAGCAAGCAATCAACTAAAAGTGATTGATTCTTATTTTTTTTAATTTTTTTTTGATAGAGCCATAAGGAACAGAGCTCTGTTTTGTACATTCCTAAGCACTATCATATATTGCAATAGAAAACAGAGTATAATAACAATAATGCGCAGATACAGTTACATTACAGCCATATCAGGCTCACTACTACGTACAATCAAATCCCTGTTTTTCAAGATTCCTGGAACTGGAGTAACTTTAATAAATGAATGCTGGCATCTTTTAGTCAATATCATCTTGCCAGCCCCTCTGGTACATCAAATTTGCTGCTTACCTTTCTGATTAATATGACCTTGTCCGTGTTACATCTAGACAGGTTAAATACTTAGACTGTTAGTCACTGCCAAAATGTCACTAAATCTATTGAAATCATAAATAATCAACCTAGGGCACCTCCACTCTCTGGGAGTGCATTACTCCACAAGTACTCCCTGACTGTGGCCCTCCGAAAAAGGCTGCAGGGGAAAACATATGTCTTGAAACCAGTGTCCTTGCTCCCATAACTGGTTGCCTCTGATGACAAAGTCTAGATTCAAACTGCAGGGAGCTTGGCTCACAGGCTGTGCCAGCATACTAAATACAAGTAGTCCTCGTATGGCAGAAAGAGAGAAAAAGGGGGTGAAATGGGCAAATTTCATTTTCCATTTGTTGGGGTCAGGGCTGCTTTGGGAGTGTTTTCTATTAACTGTAGAGTTTTGCAAGAATTGCAAAAGTATGGGAAACTGTATGGTAAGATTTTCTTTTTTAAATTGGAATAAAAATATTTTATTTTTTTCTTATGAAATTAAAATTCTCTTTGGACAATGATAAAAAATGAGATGACAAAAGGGAATTTTTCCCTAAGGAATTATCTTTTGCTTAATGACTAAGAATTCATTATTAATTAACCCAAGTTAACCTGGAAAACAGGAAAGCTGAGCTCACCCTGTAAAGTTATTTGCTGAAGGAATTAGGCCTGGATTTTATCTCAGATAGGCAGAAGGGAGGAAGGTACATGCCATTTTCCCATTAGTCAAACCTGAGTCAAAATCATGCAGTGAAAGATTCAGAGAGAAATGTAGGCCAGTCGTGACTGAAATATAACCCGCTGAGGTTTTCCCCAGGTCAGGAGGAGTGCAACAGGCCTTCATGGACTCCAGGGCTCCCAACCGGGTTTGTAACCAGCTGGGCTTGTGGAGAATCAGCAGTGGGTTATGCTTGCAGCCTGGCCCATCCTCTGTCAGGAAGCTTGTTCACGTTGGGAACTGTTGCAGTGGTAGGACTGTTCTTGAGGCTTAAATTGGACCTCACCAAAGAGGAGCACATCTCTATCTGTGTTTCTTCCCTGAGGCATCTCAAGTTACTCCTCTGAATCCTTCCTTCCATAGCAGATATTGCCTCTTTTTTATTAGAGAACATGGAACATAAAACATCTTTTTTATTGCTAGTCTGGTTTAGGTCCCAAAGGTTTTACTTATGATGAGCAACATGACATCCAAAACATTTCATAACTTCCTGAAGAAATTTGAAGTCAGTAATTTTCAGTGAATTCTAGCATAATGGAAAATTGAACAGATCATGAGCCCTGTTCACACAGGGACCTGAGGAGCACAGGACTGAGCGGTGCCAGGGGACAGTAGCAATAAAGGTTACGTGCCTGTAACCTAGGGAAAGCAGCAGCTCTAAGATGTCTTGTCTCTCTGTACAGTCACAAACTTAGACAGAAGTAAAAATAAAAGGAGAGAAATAACATTTACTCTTTCATCCTTTCACAGAGATGAGCATTTTTCCCAGCTCCTTGTCCCAGTTGTGAATCCTTCTCAGTGCTAAGGGCCTAAGAACCAAGCCCTTCCCTTTCTAAGTCACAGCAGGTAAGTGACATTTCCCTCTTTGCTGTTTCCCATAGCCAATGATACAACGGTAAAAGTAGTCACTTGGAGTCACATAAAGGGCACAAGTCCATCCTTTGCCTGAGATGAGGCAGGAATTTGAAGATCGTTTCAGTTTCTTGAATAAACATGATAACCACAGGCTGCATTGCGATCTAGGATGCATCCAAAAGTTTCCTGGACTTGGAGGTCTGCCCCACAGGTGCTCTACCTGCTGGCGTGCCGTTGATTCCCTCTGACCCAACACATATCCACATCTGTGCACAAGAATGAAACTTCAAGGAAAGCAGCAGGAGAGACCAGCTTCAGAAACATCTGCAGACTAGTGAAAAGTATGTTTATTGTTAAATTAAGAGACCGTCAGTCAAGACTGAACATTTTCTGTGCACACATTGGTTCACTGAGTTATTAGTGGGACACAGCTTCTCCTGTCAGTGCCAGGGGTGTGGTCCATATTCCTGTACTGCCAAGTGCAGGCATCGCTGCCAGTTCCCTGGGCAGATCAAGATTGAATCCAGGCCTGTGCCTCTGTTCCAGGTGAACGCTCTAACAGCTCTAATGGTGTAATGAGAGGGATCGCTCCCTTCCTTTCTTTGCCTTTTGCTTGCATTAGACATGATTCCAAAAAAACAACACAGTCAGGCCTTGTAAAAGCCATAATTAGCAGCAAGGAACACCTAATTTTCAAATTTTACTAAGTTTCATGGAACCCAGAATTTTGCCGAAGACTTTAAGTGGATAGCATGAGAGTTTTAGGCATCTTGTTGCTTGTTGAATTGAGGTGACACCTTCAAGTCATAACTTCACTGCTAGATTACAAGAGATAAAAGTCTAAAATCTGGACATTAAAAAACAAAACAAACAAACAAACAAAAAAAAAACCATTAAAAAGCATTTTTTTTTAAAGAAAATATCCCTAATTAGTTAATTTACCATCCAAATTCTTCATAAATACTCAGGTTGTTGGAATAAACAAACAAACAAACAAACAATGATTTACAGTGGTGTGAGCTAAAGCAAGGACTGAAAAGATAATGCATGAACAAGGTGGCAATGGAGTTCTGCAAGTGAGCCTATTTCTGGGTGTAAATTATTTTGATAAGACATGCAAGAGAGAACCTTCTTCCAATAAAATTATTGAATGCCACTGATAACCTTAGCATGTCTTACTAAAGCTAGAGGCTTCTAAAATAATTTGAGATTTTTGGGGCCAAATCTTTTGCTTACCAATATCTCATATAATCTCAACAATCAAATTGTGAATAATTCAGCGTTCAATCCTACAAGTTTCAAGCAACTTTTATAAACAATGAGTTTACAGAATCAAGATTCCTAACTTCAAAAGGTTAAATCTTCTGTTGACTTCACCTTTCCAAATATTTCAGGATTAAAAGTCTGTGTTGCACACAGCTGCAAAGGAAATGGTGTTCCATGCTGATTATTAGATCTTATTTACAACAGTAGATAAAACAGACAATCTTTGTGAACACATACACATGTGATAGCTTCTCTGTTAGTGAGGTATCACAGCCCATACATTGGATGCAGCAGTAACAATTCTAGAAATATTGAACAAAACTGAGCAAATAGCCCACAGGAAAAAAGAAAATAAATAAATAAATAAATAAATAAATAAATATTTAAAAGATCTGACAATGCAATCCATTATTCTGTTGAGTAATCTATCAAAGGAAGGAGCACTTAATGCCATTTAAAACTACACTGGCCATTTTTCTTCCAATATAGGACAATATATATATAAATAGCTAGGTTGCAGTTAGAAAATGGGTTAGATAACAGAGCTTCAGCTTGAAAGTTTTGTCATTGATACAGCAAGTGCCAAGATTCCTTTAACCCACAGATACACTAAAAGTTGCACAGATCTGCAAAAAAAAAACAAAACAAACAAAAAAAAAAAAAACAGAAAGAGGAAAGAAAATCTAGTTAAAAGTGAAATTTCTTTCTACTATTACATCCCTTTGGTCATGAGGGGCAACAGAGCTTCACTTTGTGAGTGGTGCTTATGGCTGGATAAGGAGCTATTTCCTGCAGGATTTCTTTTTGAAAGCCTGAACTTTCCCTGTGGGAAATTTTTGTACAGGCAGTAAATGCTTTCCAGGCCATTGTACACTAGCTTGCCAAATTCTTCCTTATTTCTAACTGAGATAAAAAGGTAACTGTGGTATTTTGAGAAACACAGTGGTAGACCTTTTTCTCCCTCTACAGTGAATGTTAGGAATTTCCCATCTTTATTTTGATCTCCAGATTGCTGAAGTCAGGAGGTAGACTGTGTCCACAGTAAGAAAACTGTCTATTGTCTAGTAGAGTTTATCAGGCAACCATGACCTTCAGAAGTTCTAGAAAAAATATCTTCTAGAATTTAAACTAAGCATAACAATCTGCACAGTTGTTGGAAGACCGTATGAAGTAACAGTGGACAAAGGCAAAGTCTACTTTTTTTCAGTGGTCACTTTCTCCATTGCATCCCACACACATCATGGTAAAGAAACAGAGACAACATCAGTGATGACTTATCCAGGAGAGGTTGCCACAGCATGCTTGGTGTTGCTCAAAGAGAGACAGAAACTCTAGTGCTAGATTTCTAGTGTGATATAGTCTAGAGCTTATTTACAGAATGAGGAAGAAGCATTTGTCTCAGAACACAGGTGTATAAACAGGTGCAGTCCATGAGATGGACTGCAGGTTCACAGGCAGCCTGCTTTATAGCCGTCTTCACCTTCATCTTGAAAGCTGCATATTCAGATACGAAGGTCAGTCTCTTTAATTCTGAAAGGCTTGGAGCCTCTTGTACCCCCTCTGAAAACTAGGATCTATCTGGGGAGAGTTGGGCTAAGAAACCCATGCCCCCTCTGGTAGCATCAGAGTACATGATGCAGAACCCAAGCTCAGCATCATGTACCAGGGCAGCACCCTCCTCACTAGGTGTCCCTCTGAGCTTTCCTCTAGCCGTTTGCCTGTCAAGCACTAGTCAGAGATCAACAGCTGAGCATAAGAAGCAAAATGTTACATGTGTGCTAGCAGGTATTTCCAAATGTAGTGTACAACATTCCCATTATTCTGCATTAATTAAAGCTTCTGCTTAATGAGCACTTGTTTGCAATTCTGGAAATTTCTTTGCTTTTCATTATAAAATGCAACACAATAAGAAATAAGCATGTGCACTTTTGACACATTTTATATTAGGAAGTCAGAGCACTTCACAAATACTAATTAATCTAACACCCCATTTATTTATCAGAAGCTGTTAAGTATTGTCAAGCCATAAATGGTACTGTACTGTCAGTGCAGCTTGTGTTGGTGATCTCAGCCAGTGCGCCTGGGATTAATCATTTTGTTCCAAACAAGTCACAGCAGATAATTTGTCCTAATATATATGTTTGATAAAGATGACATAAATTAATATTATTAATTATTTTAAGAGTCCTTAGGCTTCGTAAGTGCAAGAAGCTTCCTTGTAGATTGTTGTTGGTGTTCTGTGTGTGTGTTTTTTTTTTTTTTTTTTTTTAATAATGAAATTGCATTAAAGAAATTGTTAGTACAAGCGTGTTTTTCATAGTACAAGATACCTTGTATCTTTACATGCGAAGAATAAATTCTGTGAGTTTCTAAGGACTTACTGTACAATGAAACATATTAGTCTTTTTCCCAGATTAGTCTCAAAGCAGTGAGGTTAACGGCCTAATCCAATAGTCACTGCTTTTGATGATATCCTTTTATAGAGGCTTCAACTAGATCAGGATGGGATCTGATGCAGTATATCCTCTTTTCAGCAACCCAGTTGTTAACATGTACTTAAACCTTGTTGCTTAAGATCACCTCTGAAGAGAGACTGCCTTGAGAGCATTCTTAAGGTTCAATATGTGCTCAAGTACTTTGATGAACTTTATTACTTTGAAGAATTTAAAACATTTTGATGGAAATCCAGAAATGAGAAGGGTTCAGGCAAGTAATTAATTGAATTTGAGAAATTACTTTTTAATGTAACAAATACAGGTCAAGAAAAAAAAATGATTTTTTTAAATAAAAAAATGTGGTACCAGGGCTAATCTTTAATCTAGTCCACAAAACAAGCTTTACTTTCCCCTCTTACATGAAGGTATCTGGATAAGGAATGGAGATATCTGTGAGAAGTGAGTAAGGCTCACATCAGAGAGTTCAAGATGAAAATCTTGTTCCAAAAAAATTTCTGTGCCGATGACTGCCTCCTAATCCTGAAGGATATATATATAGTACAGTGGGCCTTCCTGTCTTTCTGTCAGATCTGTCAGACTTGAAAATTTAGTGGAGTCCTGTACTTCTACTTTGGATCATCCCTGCTCTGTGCTGTGCAGAATAAGGCAGAATCCAGGACAGAGGCTACCATGAAGTACCCTGTTGTATGGGTATGCCCTGACAGCCTGTGATTCCCTCACAAAAGGTAGGATCACTGGATTCAGAAGGAGGAAATTCCCCCAGATCCTCTCCTGCAGTTGTGTTCCTTGCTTCTCCTTCCATGCAGATCCATGTTCCTCTAGCCTGCTAGGGACCATGTTCCACCACATAGTGCCCCATTTCCACAGCAGTGGAGGGGACATGAAGCTGTCTTGCTCTCCAGCCTGACCAGAGCACTTTCCTGAATGGTGGGAGTTGTCAGTCTGAAATCTCTAAGTGATGTGATATTGAACCAAATACATCCAATTCTTGTGAGCATGAAGCAACTGCTAAGCCAGTGTTGTTGGCACGTGGGCACAAACAGCATCAACTCCCACTGGAGAGAAGCTTGATAACCTATTTAGAGACAAGTGAACGCTTTGTTCTGTGGAGGATTAGAGACTGTGAGTCCTGGTTAGAGGACATTAGAAAAATGGGAATTTTGGATACTCCTTGGGTATCAGTGGTAATTGGTGAATAGGCAATTCCATGTTCACCATACGACATTTTCTGATAACATTTGGGGTGTATAACCATCCTACATGCACTACTGGGAGCACAGTTCTGGGTGCATGTTTGTTACTTGTAGATGCCTAAATCTGTTTTTATGGCTATTTCTAAGTGTTTGAAATAACAAGTTAAATTCAGCTTTGTGTCACAGAAACTGAAGAGAAAATGATCAACAAAATTGTTGGAATAAGGGGAAGAAAAAGTAGGAAACCACCTACTGGAGAGTTGGGGCATATAAAGATAAATCTTTGCTGAAGGAACTGAAACCATTTTATAAAAGCACTCTGATGTGTCTTCGAGACTCCATTTCACATAGAGATAGCAATCTTGATTCTCAGCTGGTATAAACTGTCAGAGATACATTGAAGCCAATTTCCTCCAGCTTCTGATCTGGCCCAGAGATATCATCTACTGCTATCTACACTAGTATCATCTAGTAGCATCTTTACTGGCTTCAGGACCAAATGCACATGTCTGCATATGGCTTTGTATCTGACAAATACTCAGAACTATGCTAACATAGAAAAGAAGAATAAATATTACAGAATAAAATGTGTACTAACAGCTGAGAAGTTCTGTGTACATGACAATTTGCTGATTACTTCCTAGTTGCTCTTTCTATTTATTTAAAAGATGTTTTCCCTGCTACTAGTAGCATATTCCCTGCTACTGATTGCAGGTGTTGTAGTAATATACTGCTACTGTTTCATGTAAAGTAGATAAAATATGTTATACAGTTAGGGAAATAGTGGCTAGGTATGACTACTGCATTGTTTTTGTTAACAAAGTGTTAATATTTTCCTTCTTTTTATGCTTGGATAAAAAAGGGGGCACTTCAGCAATTCAAAAATTTGCAAGCAGTCAGTTAGAAAGAAAAGGCTAATGTGGACAACAGGCCGAGGTTTATTTTACAACCCTTTGTCAAGAGTGTTACAGAGCCTCACAGCTCTCAGATGGATTTTGGATGATGTTTTCTTCTTGCAGAAAGCGTGTGCATGTGTGCCTGTGCCTGATCTCCTAGGGAAAAGTAAAAGGTAAAAGTCTTCTACCCATGGAAGTAAGTTCAATGATGCTAGCCTGCAGGGACACAGGTCTGGAGATGTGGAGTGTGATGGTACCAGCCACACGAATATTGCCTGAGGTGAGAGATTCCAGTAATTTTCCTTGCTGTTATGGGAAATGTCATCTGTAATTCCAGTTTTGGCAGGTTTTTCTGTAATTATTTGCCTGTTGCACACACCTTTTGCTGGAACAAGACACTGCCCCTCCAGCTGTGATCTGGCAGATAGCAGCAGTGCTGCTGCCTCTGCTTTTGTGCTAACACCGGCATCTGCATGACTCGGCATGGGAAAAGAGCAGGGAATTAACCTTTTTTAAAATTATTTTTATGAACAACAACAACAAAACACCCCAACATCCAAGCTTATTTTTTTTTAGCTGGATCAGATCCTTGTGCTGGATCAGTGAACAGTTGTGGAAATACTTGTGCCACCTTGCGGGTGGGCAGCAGGTACCCTTGGGAAAGAAGGGGTGGTGGCTTCTTCAGGCAACTTCTTGAGGCACAAGGCCAGGGAGAATTGAACTTTCTCTTGTGATCATAAGCTGCAAAAGACACCGCTGCAGGCAGAACACCGGGGCTGCTGCAGCAATCCCTCCAAGCCCAGGCAAGGCCTTGATGTGCTAAATGCAAAGCTTAAGACTTTTCTTTGGTACTGACTTGCCTACTTCCTCTCAGCAGCAGCACTAAACACAACTTGCTGTCAGTGTATACATAGGACCATATTTCTAACACCTCTGCCACCATTCAGTATGTGAATTGTGTTCTGGCACACGTTTTTAAAGGGCTGTATCAGCACTGCATTAGCATGTAGGCAGCTCAAGATAATATCTGAAAAACCTGTGAGCAGACAAACCCTAAAATTAGTATGCCTTGTGTAGATTTGGCCTGAAGATGGGTAAAAACCTGATCTGTACTAGTCAAACTGCAGTTCAGCCTTATCTCCACAGCTCTACAGGCATGCTTGGTCTGGTACTCAGCAGCCACCTTTCCTTCACCTGTGATCCAAGGCTGAGATGTTGGTAGGTCCTTCGTTAGGGTGATATGACTCTTTTTAAAAGGAAGATTCTTACTTAAAAAAGGATTTTCACAAGGTATGTGGTGTTGAAAGTTTGTTTCTTAAAATCAACTCTTCTGAGAAATTCTGACATCAGAATATGATTAACTGTGCTGTTCCTGTTGTATCTTGTTTCAGGAAGTCAACAGTAGTGCCATGGAAGTGGGAGGGTATTATTTTACATAGCACACAGATTTAATTTCAAGATGTATGCTGACAGCCTATGCTACTCTCTCTGCCATAATAAAATCAGATAATTAAGTTTAGAAAACCTCAAGTATTCTTTTTACTTGATCTTTAGAGCTGCTGCAAATACTTTTGCAGTCAGAAATACACATTCCTTTCTTGTGCTGCGACAGTAGAGAGCTACTGGCCTTATAGCTGCTTTATTGTATGAATGGCTCTGTGCTGGACATTTTATTTCTCTGTTACTATAAAGTTAGACCCTGAAGTCTGTACCTGTACACATTTTTTATTCCAGCACAGTTTTCTGTGAAAAATATTTTTTTTTTTTCAAATATAACTGATTAAATATGTCAGGAATTAGACCTGTATTTGTTTAGTGCCACTTGTTTGTTCAGTATTGTCAGTAGGTAATTGTTTCCATCTCAGACATTTAAAATGCTTTATATAGTCTAGTGCCTACAAACTAGCTCAAGTAATTATTTTTTTTTTTTTGATGAAAGACTTTTTCAGTTTTTCTCTAGGACTGTAAAAATAAACATAACTTCAGGATGGGATTTCAAAATATTTGTGGACAAATTAACTAATTAACTTCTTTTCCTTTTTTTTTTTTTTTTTTTTTTTTTTTTTCTGGTTCTACATCAAATCCTTGTGTGGGATTTCCCTTTTCTAATTGTGAACTTAAATTATCACAAATATCACAAATATAAGCTGAAATACTGGACCTACTGAACAGCAAAAAAAAAAAAAAGAAGCTTTCTATGGAAACTAAATTCAGAATTTAAATTATAATCCTATAATTTCATGTCATACAAAGTTTACTTGCCAGAGGGTATCTGACACTGAGCAACTATTCCAGCACAGGAGCAGGTGCAGCCCCAGGGCAGGTTTCCTTGGCTCCTGAGACAAAGGCTGTGGTGCTCAGGACTGCAGAAGGTGCCAGGATCTGCCACCCTGCCTGGTACCTGCCCTGTTTCCATTAGTGATCTCAGTGCTTCACCCCCTCAAGCTCTGCCTTCCTGGGGACAGAGCTGGGAGGTTGGAGACAGGCCCTGCCAGGAAAGGTGGAGACAATGAAAAACTGAGTCTTTTCTTCCTCACGACACACAAAAGACTGATCCAGATCCACTGCGTATTTGACTTCTGCTTTGGGCAGCACATCGGACAAGATGACCTTCACAGGCCCCTCCTAACCTAAACCATTTGATGACAATGTTTTTGTGAAATAACTTCCATGCAGTGTAATTCATCTGAAAAGCATGAGCAGATTTTTTCATGTAGAAACTATTTACATTTATTGGGTATTATCAACATATAGAATAAATTACAAAACATTTCTACAATACTCTTCTTCATCATTGATTTAATGGCGTTTGTTTTTTTTTTTTCTCTGAAAATCTTCTTAATGTATTGATATATGGAAATTAGCTCCTGATATATGAATAAAATGGATTATGCATGTCCTTAAGATCAGTGTTCTTGTCACCTGTGCAATTTTACAAACATTTTTCCCTTATGCCTTTAGCTGGATATGCGATCAATAAAACTATACTGAAGTTCTACAATTTATGAATTAATTGTTCCAAGTAGCTGATAAGACTAACATTAAAGAGGTGATTCTCCTATACCAGAGATACAGCAAGTATGTAGTAAAAATATATATAATGATAATATGTACATGATGAATAATCAAAGAAATCAAACAGTTTGCAAAGTAAAAGTGTATTTAATGAGCCAAATACCAGTTCAGAAACAAGAAGAAATGATTCAGTTTGTCCTCTGGATTATAGTTTAATAATAGTGACAAAAATATCTGAGCAGGCAAAGCAACCTATCAGTCAAACTAGTGATACTATTACTTTTAAAAAGCCTTTTATTCCAAATGGTTCCATTAATTTTGTATAGCAATATGAGAGTATTGCAGTTACGTCATGCAGCCTTGAAGATTGTACATGAAGACCTGTGGCAAATTAGCTTTAGTGTCACATTTTTTTCTATTGGTAAGTTGGAGATAAACACTGTTCTGAACAGAAACGCTGAGGAGAGCAGGATGTTAGATTTGATTGTGTATCCTGCTTTTTAGTCAGCTTAGTATTACCTTTAAAAACTTGCAGGGTCTTCTGCAGCCTTTGTACAAACAGAAAATAGTCACCTCTGTGAAAGCTTTTTTTTTCACTTGCTGAAAATTAGTATCAAGCACTTCTACAATACAGTCTAGACAGGAAATTGCCTTGTCCCTCAGCTGAAAATTGATTAGGTAATTCATTACATCAGTCATCTAAGACACTCCATCCTCTGAAAATTTGTTTTCTGGGGCTCTGATAAAGGTAAGATCTATAGGTCTTCTCTTCCAAGTAGGTGAGTCATCTTAGACTGGACATTTCATATGTTTTCTTAGGACAGCAATTTTTCTGTGTGGCTAAGCCAATTGAAGAAAAACATCAAACTTATCTGATGCTTATCTGTAGGGTGCTCAGGATACAGGACAGAATAAGCCTCCTATAAAGAACTTCTCATACTTGTTCTTTGTCAGCTTACAATCAATGGCTTTTGTTTGTATCTGAAATATTTGCACTCCCCCGAGAAAATGCTCTCAGTAGAACTTAGAGAACTTATCCCCAAGATATTTTATTTCTATTGCTAGCTATAGATTTTTATTTATGTGTGTAGATCACAGCATATACATTAACTTTCTAGATCAGCTCAGAAAAATTTTTGTTTATATCATACATTCTTCTGATGCATAAGTGCATCAGAAGTCACACTTACATTTTTTTAAATTTAGAGTCACCATGTGACATAGGTGAACCTAAAAAATTGGTCTCATGCTTTCCAGCCAACAGAAAAAAATAAGAAAGTAAAGAAATGAAACAATGTATACCAAATTACAACCAGGAAGAATTCAGGGAATAGGAAATCATCAACAGAACAATAAAGCTGAACTTGAGTTAAAAACATGACAAAAAGAAAAACAGTGAATAGATCAGTCACTATGCTAGCACTGAACTACACCAAAAAGTTTGACAAAGAAAACTTTGACTTGATTTTCCTAACTCTAGGATAAGGAAAAAAAAAAAAAAAACAAAAAACCACCAACTTTTTTTTTCTCACTAGAGATGAATTGAAATTGTACATAAGTGGTGAAGGAAATAAAGAAAAAGTACTGAACAAACGAGAGACAAAATGAAACAGTTTGAAAAGATAATAGAATTTTTAACAGTGATTCATAAAAAGTTTTGTCCATTTTTCCCCTAAACATGTCATTTTACAAACTTGATTTGGACAGAAAGCAATCCTAGAAAATGCTGAAAAATCTCCTGAAGAAATATCATGAATGATTAACATATCCTTTTAACGTTACAACACTAGAAAAGCTGTTAAGTGGAAATTAAACCAGCTAGACATATAAAAGGAAAAACATTCATCATATTTTATTGCCAAAAACAATTAAGAATCTAGAACAAACTTACTGTATAAGTAATTAAATGGAAATTATGCTTTGTAATGATTTTAAGGGGAAAACATGACTTGAATGGCTGTTAGCATTTTATCACCAGTGTAATCTACTTTATTTAGATTAGTGGTCTACATTTTTGCTTACAATAGTTGCTCATTTGTCTACACTTCAACACAGTGTACAAATCAAAGTGTGGTTGCTTATAATAAAGGTCAGGCTCTTAGTATTAGGTGACTGAAAAACAAGATGGAAAGGAAACAGACAAAAAAAAAAAAAAAAAAAAAAGGAAAAAAAATCAGCTTGGGAAAATGAAGCAACAAACATTGGAAATAAATAAGACAGTCCTGGACAAGGTGTCCCTGCTTGGGTAGTGCGGTGGGACCAGATGACCTCCAGAGGTTCCTTCTCACCTCAAACATTCTGTAATTCTCTGAAAACACTCTTTCTCCTCAAAAGGTTTGTCAGTAGTTTCTTAAAGTAAATTCTAATAGGGTGTTCCACAAGCAATAGCTCTTCACTTTAGCAATTCCATACTTGTTAACAATTATTTTGTACATATATACATATATAAAAGTTCCTTAGTCCTGAGGTAAAGATACATTAATGTTCTGAGAATATGACAATGAAAGCACTGCTGAAATAAGCTGTGGTTAGAAAGTAAATGTAAAAAAAGCTCTCCCTTTTACCATATTTTCATCTGTTCATTACCATCAAAGGTAAGAAGCACATCTCCAATTTTATTATTATTATTTTTTTTTTAGAGGAACTAGCCCTACTGTTCAGTGACAGAAAGGCAGAAAGGAGGAGGTATTTTCTCATCATTTCAAGCTCTTGGTCACTACTTTCTTATTAATCTGGAGAGATGATTTATGAGTAATAGCCTCACTTTGGGCCGAAGCACCACACTAGCACTGAATTACAAAGAAAATTTTGACAAAGAATATTTTGACTTGATTTTCCTAACTCTAGAATAAATTCTTCCTTCCTTCCTTCCTTCCTTCCTTCCTTCCTTCCTTCCTTCCTTCCTTCCTTCCTTCCTTCCTTCCTTCCTTCCTTCCTTCCTTCCTTCCTTCCTTCCTTCCTTCCTTCCTTCCTTCCTTCCTTCCTTCCTTCCTTCCTTCCTTCCTTCCCTCCTTCCTTTACTAGAGCTGCATTGAAATTGTACATATTTGAACACCTAACATGTAATTGAAATGATGTAATGTAATTGAAATGATGTAATTGAAATACCTGGACAGATCAAGGATGTCTTTGAGAGATCTTCTGTCTGAGATACACAGTTCTCAATAAGTATCACTTTTCTTTTTTAGCAGCAATATGCATATCAGAATGAGGAGCACAGCTAGAGTTCTTTCTCCTCTTAAATAATTTTTCCAAGGCGGTACCACACTCACAACATCTGCTTAGTAGATAAGAAAGTTTATTTCAAAAAAATTCAAGCCGTGTCCAAGCAAACAGAAAAGAAGAAAATATGAAAGTGGCAAATTAAGCACAATAACAAAAATCACAGACCGTCAACAAATGTTTTAAGGAATACTTGCTAAACCCATAAAAAATAGCAGCAAACTCTTCCTCAAAGCTGTGGGGGAGTCTCCCTTGGAGTCATTAAGGCCAATTGACATATAAATGAGAGGATGAGATACAGCAGGAAAAATAAAACAAAACAAACATACAAAAAATAATGGTATTCTTGCATGTTTCTTCAAGCTGGAAGTCTTAGGAAATTCATACTCCAGAAGTCTTCTATACAAGGACAAATCAGGAGATCTGTTTTAAACTGAAATGTCTGTGGAGGAGGTTATAGAACAAATTTACAAAATGAACAGTAGCAAACTACCAGGACCATATGGTATTTACCCAGGAGATCTAAAGGAAATTGAGGATGAAATAGCTGAATTACTATCTGTGGTATACAGTCTCTTTCTGAAAACTGCCTCTGTACTGTGGAAGATGTGGAAGGTGGTGATTGTGACAGTAACTTTTAAAAAGCATCTCATTTAGGAATTCTGGTATTACAGACCAGTGATCTGAGAAGTATGACACAATGTGGAAAAAATAATCCTAGCTTTATATGCAGTGTGAGAAACTCTTTACTAAATACTATCACTCATTAAAAAAAAAAAGTCTTGGAAATTTAACACATAACTCTATGAAAAAGCCAGTTTTATGTTCAGTAACAGTCAAGGAGGCAAGTACAAAATATGGTAGAATTTTGGGGTATTACACTTATTTGGCATATGAGCCCCTTCTTAAAACACACACCAAACAGTATTCTATTTTTTTCAGTTGTTCTGATAAGCATATTACCTTTATTTCCAAATCACTTATATTGATTTGTCTTTAGACCAACACAGCAAGAACAATGCTACCAATAAAAGATCAGGAAATTGTTACTGCAGGACTTGAAAACACAACAGTGTGTCAAGCTATGACCCTTCTTTAAAATTGTTGCATATCTGGTCCTCCCCCATCCCCCCACCCTCATCTCTCATCCTCAGAAGGGACAGGGCAGAACTGGAAAAGGTTCAGAGAACAATAGTAGTCATCAAAGCAATGAAATAAAGTCTGTAAGAGAACCAACTAAATAGTTTAGGACTCTTCAGCCAGGGAAATACAACTTAATTTTGTATAGTTATCATGTCTTGGAGAAGGTGAACGGTCTTTTTCACCTACAAAAGCTAGTCAGAGATCAAATGATAATTTTGAGAGGTAGGTTGAAAATAAACAAAATTAGTTATACTGTAGAACTTTCCCACAAAATATTTTGATATTAGAAGTGTTCAAAAGCTTCTGGACAAATTAAGAGAGGAAAAATCCACTAGATATTATAAGCATAAATATAATACTTCTCATTCAGGACTTTGATGAACTACTACTTGCTGGAGATA